GTATTAAGTATTTTCATTTGGGAACCAGGAAAAAAATAAAACTACTGCAGTCAGAAAATAATTCGTACAATCTTTTAATTAATGTTCTTTGACTGGAAAGGAGGCCTTTGTGCTTTTCTCCTTCTTTATCCGTGATTTAGACCTGCTTTGGCAGCACACACAAATGGTTAGAGCATTCATCATGTAGCTTCATATTTTAAGATCTGCTTGAGTTGAAGTGAATAGGTTGTGCATGAGTGTGTGTGGGCATCAGTGTGTTTGTGTACCAATACCAGGGGTGAGGGGGGGACTGTACACTGATGGCAGTCATTTTGCTGGGTCATCATGTCAGTGAGCATTCTTATTCCACATCCATCTTTCTCAGAGTAAAAATGGCAAAGTGCTAAATGCCAAGCTTGCAAACACAAGCTGTGCAATTTCTTCCTTAAAAAGCATTTGCTGCTTGTGATATTTCAAGCCTGTTTCAGGAGATGTCTATGCATATTGCTGCCTTGTTGTCAGCACACTTTGTACAAGTCCATCTTGTTTGTGGAATTCAGAGATTTTTAGGCATGCAGATGAAGCAAGCTGTTGTGATTGTAATGATCTTAGAATCTATGCATACAGAATAAATGCCTTTGGGTGCAATGTGCATATCAATAGGGGCCTGAAGACGAGGGCTTTGGCTGTCAAGGCTGAATGGCAACACAAATGAGAAGCTTGGCCAGAAGGGTTTGTGGGGATTTTCCACCACAGGAGTTAGACATTGATTGATTGTCCACCAAAAAAACAGAGCTTCATCAAAAACGAACAGAATCACGTATGTGTTTACTATGCTATTACATCATCTTTGAGTTGCTCTGTGGTTCTGATGCTCCATCCACGCAACTTCATTTTCGTTTGAAAAATAAATCAACTGGGATACACCTACCGTCCACACTACACTGGAATTTCAGAGATGTTTAAAATTGGCCGGTTCCCTGAGCAGCCCTGGAATTTTCAAACTCAGGGTCTGAACAAAATAAACAGAGATGTTTGTAGACGATGATGGAGGCACTTGCTGATGGAGGATTTTTCGGTCATGACGTTGCTTTTTGTTGATTTGTCAGGCTCCTATCACATGACCCCCTTCCAGAAGAAAACAACCACTCGTGTGGACAGAGATTGTGCGTAGTAGTATGGATGTATCTTCCTTTAACTATTCCCACTCAGGATGGATATAGCTACTGCAGTTTGTCGGATTGAACAATATTGTAAAGTGTCTTTGGGCAGTTCCTCTTCCGCTGCTGAATGAAGCAGCAGTTTTGAGGTCCCAGAGGCCACAGGGGGGTGGGGGGGTCACAGGGAGCGCACACATGTATTTTCATCACTCAATATCCTCATTACAACCCTGTCTTCCTGTCGTACGCCCACCACTCAAAGGACTTAAGGCTGATTAGGAAGCCCGAACAAGTAAGTGA